AGGATATGATATTATGTTAAGTCTTGTGTATTTCCAGCAATATACAAATATATGCAGTATGCAATAATGTAAATATATAGCTGCCTATACTGATACATTATTACATTGTTGTTACTTAATTTTTGTAATTAGACCAGCTGCGATAGTTGTTCCTTCTACACGTAACATAATTCTACCCAATTCTTTAATATCTTTATATAATTCCATACAAACTGGATTTTGCGTGGTAATTTCAATAATAGCACTTGAATTTTTTGGTAAACAACGCGGTTTCTTTTTTATCATTTCACCTGTATTTCTATGAAGTTGTGCTACTAGTTTTGTAATAACAGCTGGTTGAACTAAAGAATGTTGGTGAATTATTACTGGAAGACCTTTCATAATAGGTATTTTCACTGCAAATACAACAACATGTGCTTGGAAACGTGTTGTTACAGGAACTGGATTTTGAGGATTACAAATAATATCACCAATTCCAACATTTTGTTGATCGATTCCAGATAATGTTAACGAAACATGATCCCCAGCAAATGCGTTTGTTGTAGATACTTCATCTATTTGTAAACCTACAAATTAATGTCAGAAATTTCACTATAACAGTCACTATAACAGTAAATATGAAAGAAAGCTATACAACGTTGATATACCTTTAACCACTGCAGTTTCATTGCGTGGTAATACTAAAACTTTATCACCTAAAGAGACCATGCCTGTTTCTACATGGCCAGAAACACAGAATCCAGATCCTGTACCTTTAAATATGTCGTTAACCAAAAAACGAAATGGTTTGTTTATATGACGTTCAGGACACTTAAAATTTTCAATAACACTGACTAATGTAGGTCCTGTGTACCTGCATAATTATACAGTAACAATTAATATATTATTTTATTTTATTTTTTAACGCACTGAATATTCTAGATCAATGGTGAGCAACCTTTGTTTTGTAGTGAGGCAAAATAGAATATGTAATATTCTATATCAAAGATAATGTCCATCACATAATTATAGATAACTATTTATCAGTGAACATATTTCGAGTCCAAGGACATATGAACCTTGTTATTAAGTAGTTAATTCATATTGATAATGCTTCATATTTTGCTTATATTTAAAAAACTTCTGGATTTCAGTTAAATGAGTGTAACGTTTGGACAAACCGCAAGTAGGTAAGTAGTTGAAGGATTACGGGTTGCTCACCACTATTGTAAATAATAATTATACCAATTAGATAAAGGTTCTTTAGGTTTTGTTAATATATTTTCACCAGATAAACCACTACAAGGAACAAAAGTAACGTTATCCTTGAATCCAGCTTGTTTTAAGAATACACTCATTTTATTCACTATTTCATCAAATCTTTCTTTTGACCAATCTACTGTGTCTAATTTATTTACTATTACTGCTAACTGTGATATACCTGAAAAATTGATAATCTGTAAGTAATGAATAATATCTATTGACAATTTAAATGAAAAGTTTTAATACCTAATGAGCGTAATAATAGCGCATGTTCTCTAGTTTGACCTCCGCTGTCAAAACCAGTTTCAAATTCTCCTCTAGTAGCATCTACTACTAACAGAGCTACATCAGCTTGCGTAGCGCCTGTAATCATATTAGGTATAAAATCTTTATGTCCAGGTGCATCTAATAAAGTAATTGATTTTGTTTCTGTTTCAAATTTAGAATGACCAACGTCCATTGTTATTCCACGTTCTCTACAAAAATATACAAAAATTAATTAACATAAAACAGTCTATATAAATTCTTTTTCCATTAGAAATTTTAATTACCGTTCTTCTCCTGTTTCATCAAGAACCCATGCATAAGCAAACGATTGTTTTCCTATTTTTTTACTTTCTTGTTGATATTTGTGAATTAATCTTGATGGAACTTGTCCTAACTCACATAGAAGTCGTCCTAATAAAGTACTTTTACCAGCATCAACATGACCAACCACAACTAAATGTAACTGCTCTTTGCTGTCTCCCCTTTTATCTTTATATATTTTCATCACATCAATTTTTTCTTCATTAAGTTTTAATTTAGGATCAAAATCAGGTGTCTCATGTCCTGATATTGGAGATTGACATCGCGGGCTATTTGCATTCGAAGAACCTGCTTTCTTTTCCCTTGTTATATTTTCCTTTCTTTTTATTTCTGGACTATTATAATCAGAATATGGGCTTTGAGAGCGAGGACTCTCTATACGGGAATTCAATACATCAGTATTCTCAGTCCCGCTTACATTAAAGCCTTTTATAACAGGTCGTTTCCCAGCGGGAATAATTTTCACATTGGAAGGTGTTGTAACTTGAAATGGAGATTTGGATGACAATTTTTTACCTATTATAAAATTTATTGTAAACTATTGTTATTTTAATACTAAATATAAAAAAATATTTAAAAACTTTATAATACAAACATATATATATATATAGTATTAGTTGAAATATATATATTGTTAGTTTAAATACATTTTCAATTTAAAAATTTACAAATTTCGCTTTAAAACTTCAGAAATAATATTTACATGGAAATAATACCTTACAATGAATATAATTACATAATCAAAAAGAATTTTTTAATCATATTACGTCATTTTACATTTATATCAATCGTAATTTTTTATATATATGTATATATATTCATAAATTTATATAAAATTTATAATTCAATGTTATATTTGTAAAAATAATATTTAATAACGATAGCATTTTGTACCGCAAAAACTTTGTACCTAACACTTTTATATTTTATTACACAATTTACGAAGCCCGAGTATATGGAACTGAAAAATCGAATCTCTTTACTGTTTTATGATGCTCTTGTTGAGATTTAAGAATTGGCTTTTTCAATTTCCATGTTCTGCATAATGTTCTACCAAATAAGGATACATTCTTTTTACTATGTGGCAATTTAACATATCTAAGAAAACTTAAATTTAATGTTGTAGGTAACATAGCATATGGAATTTCAATATTTTCATTAGAAATCTGTAAATTTGAATTAGGAATGACTTTATGAACATCTTTTAGCATTTCCAATTTTGTATGACTACAACTATTTGAAACTAAAAATGTGGCTTCTTTTAAAGTAGAATTTAAATCAATGATCTCAGGATCTGGTGATGGTGTCCGAGTATCACTTATATTATTTACTATTGGATCATTCTTTGATTCTATATTTTGTGAGTTACTTTTAATATTAGTGTTAATAAAATCTTTTGAAAAGGCAAACACATTAGATAAACTTCTTTCTAGTGAATCCATAGAATCATCTGACTTTCTATCATTTATTGTATTAGATTCTATATGTATATCTTCTAGAATAGTAGATAAGTTTAGTTGTTTATTTGTATCATTACAATTATCTTTTTTAATTGACAATTTTGGAATTAAAAAATTTGTTTTAGGGGAAGACGTTTTCTCATTACCAAGTAAGTTGCTAGTATTCTGTAAATGATGTGCTGTTAAATCAGCTAAAGTTTTGAATGCTACAGTATCCGAATCATTTTTTAAAGATGTAGAACTTGACAACGTGAAATCAACAAGAGGATTAAATCCAGATAAAGAGGAAAACCCCTTCATACGGGAATTACTAATAGCTAAATCTTTGAAACTTTCTAAATTATTTATGAGGTATACATTCTCGTTAGTACCTTCACTATTCTCTTGTTTGTTAAATGATAATTTGGGTACAATGAATGAATTAGGCTGAAACTTAGTAGATGTAGCATCTTACCTTACCAATGGATTCAAAGACAACACATGAAACAAAAAAATTATAAATTAAGAAATAGTACTATAAAGTTACTTCTTATTAAAAATATTATGTTAATAAGTAATATACCTGGATGAGGTTCCAAATTGTCCTTATTAACCATCAATGAACCTAAAATTATTAAATTATTCTAACTAAGTCATTAAAGAAATATATAATAAATATACATACCAGTAGCAGTTTTTGGTGAAGATTCTTTTAAAATTAAATCAAGTGCTATTTTGACATCAAATTTTGACTGAATAATCTTTTTTTTAATCTCAGATTCAGGTACCGTATCTCCTATAACATTTTTGATAGATTCCATGCATGACATTAGCTTGGCCCATTCGATATCTGTAAGTGTTACATCTTTCTCGTTGAAAGACATTGAAAGTTCCTCATTGTCCTCGTTATCTTCTATTATATCTGGTTCAGTAATGAAGGATGCAATATTTTGTTGTTTACTTCGATCAAATAAAAACTGTTCAGCTGTAATTTAAACAGTTAGCATGCTTATATTAAAACCATATAAAATCTGATACGTTGAATATATATTAAACAAAAGTACCACTAGGAGATACACAATAGTCATCTTCTACAGAATGTCCGTATACATCGTCATAGCCTTCGTATTCTGTAAAAAATATGTCACGTTAATAATTGACAACTGAAGATTCAAAATATTCGATGTATTTGTGTCCTATTTATTACATACCTTCTGAATAATTCATGCATCGTACATCGCGATGTCGAGACATTTTGTAAATTTTTGTAAGGTATTGTTTTCTAAAATATTGTAAAATGTCGTTTCTCACCTATCTTATTATGTATAACCTCCCATGTTACAAAGAACAGGTTGAGACAAATTCCACCATTTGTGTTGGCAATGTTGACAAGTATCCAAACCGACGATTATATTTTACGTATAGTTCGCTCATAATGTACTAGTATGTAAATACGTAAACTTCGCCTGCAATTGGAGGATATTTTTAGCAACAGTGCAATTCAAAATTCGCAATATAAATTCAAGAATTTAATTGGTTAAATTTAAGATAATTTAATTTTATGTAATTTTTTATAAGATATATATCACGCATTGAGCTAAATAATATCAAGAGCATATTAATATAAGTTAGTTGTTTAAGTATTTAAAATGTATTTTATAAATGCGTAAAATTTTGAAGAAAGTAATTTATCAGAAACAAAGTCACGCGCATGTGATAAGATTTCTCTGATTTATTGTATATACGTATATATATACACTTGCAGGAAATATTTTCTCACTTTGTTAACTGCGATTTATTGTTAGTTCGATCATTTCGGAATATAAGTGATAAAAAATGACTTCGCTTCCATCTGTATTAAAACACCTGTTTAGGTATGTATTTATATGCATATATATTTGATATATTATAATATGTGCATATGTTATAACATACATATAACATACATATAATGTAATATTAATCTGGGTATTAATTTCACTTTCAGCTATATTGATGATCATAAAACTGAGTATATAAATAATTTGAAAGAAGCAGTAGCTATAAAGTCTGTATCAGCTTGGCCAGATCACAGAAATGAAATAATTAAGATGATGAAATGGGCAGAAGTGAGATTAAAAAATCTTGGAGCCACAACAGAATTGGCGGATGTAGGGAAACAAACTCTTCCAAATGGGAATGTAATTTCTCTTCCACCTGTTTTGTTAGGGACTCTTGGTTCTGATCCTAAAAAGAAAACTGTTCTTATATATGGGCATTTAGACGTTCAACCTGCATTAAAAGAAGATGGTTGGGATAGTGAGCCATTTACTCTTGTTGAGAGAAATGGCAAACTGTTTGGCCGAGGAAGTACAGATGACAAGGGTCCTGTACTTTGTTGGATTCATGCATTACAGGCTTACAAAGCCATTGGAATTGATATTCCTGTTAATCTTAAGGTATGCCCAATTGTAAACTTTTTATGTGTAAATTTTTATTTTGTATTTATTATTATTTTGTATTTTGTAATTATAATTTTTATAAATTATAAATTTTCTGTATGTTTTATATTTATTAAATATTTTCCAATTTCAGTTTGTCTTTGAAGGTATGGAAGAAAGTGGTAGTGAAGGTTTAGATGAACTTCTTTGGACACGAAAAGATACATTCTTGCAAGGTGTAGATTATGTGTGCATATCTGATAATTACTGGTTAGGTACCAAAAAACCTTGTATTACTTATGGTTTAAGAGGTATCTGTTATTTCCAAGTGGAAGTGACTTGTGCTGTTAAAGATCTGCATAGTGGTACATTTGGTGGAACTTTGCATGAGGCAATGGCAGATTTGATATATTTGTTGGATACACTAGTAGATGTAAATGGAAAAATTTTGATAAATGGTATCTATGATAATGTTGCTGAAATTCTGAAAAAGGAAATAGAATCCTATGAAACTATAGAATTTGATGTTGCTGAATTCAAAAATTCTATTGGAACTAGTAAATTAGCTCATAATGAAGATAAAGTAAGTATTTATCATTTAATTTATTATCATTACGTTATATTATATTTATATTATTGTATATGTTATTAATAAATTTAATTATATTAGATTCAATTGTTGATGCATCGGTGGAGACAACCCAGTTTGTCTCTTCATGGAATAGAGGGAGCATTTAGTGAACCAGGTGCAAAAACTGTTATTCCAGGAAAAGTTGTTGGTAAATTTTCAATTAGAATAGTACCGAACATGAAGCCAGAAGATACTGTAGAAAAAGTAACAGCATACTTAAACAAAAAATGGGCCGCTAGAGGTAGCCCAAATAAATTCAATGTCAGTATGTGTCATGGAGGAAGAACTTGGTCTGAAAATCCTGATCATCCAAATTATGTAGCTGGTCGGAAAGCTACTAAACATGTTTATAATGTAGAGCCTGATCTATCACGCGAAGGAGGTTCAATTCCAGTTACATTAACATTCCAAGAAGTTACAGGTAAAAACGTATTACTCTTACCAGTTGGTGCTGGTGATGATGGTGCACATTCTCAGAACGAGAAAGTAGATCTTCGTAACTATATTGGAGGCGTAAGTATTTCTATCAAAGATAGTATTATTTATTATAATTGCTTAAACATAAAGATATTTTATTTTTGGTTTAGACTAAATTGCTTGGAGCTTATTTGTACGAAGTAGCCCAACTTTAAGATACGAACGTATTGGAGACATAATCAGTATATTGGTTTTATGGTTATATATTCAAAAACTTATCTTTTTTACCATATAATACATAAATAACGTATAAAATAATACATATGTATAAATAAAAATTTGAAGGGAAAGGAAGTAAACAAATGCCATTTTACTTATATGTATTTCATTTTTCAAATGAATATAAAATATTATTTTTAATAAAATATATATTTAAATATTATTCTATTTTTGTTATTCTGGTTTTATTTTTAATACCCAGGCTGGCTGTCCTTTATGAAGTTCTGCTGGTAATGATATAGTCAATTTTTCACTACTTTGTTTCCACTGAAATTCAAAATTCAATGTTATTGTTTTCAATTATACTTATTATTTGTATTATATAAATATTATATTAAATTTAATATCTAATAAGATGAAGTACATACATTAATTAGTAACTTAGATCCAAGAGCTGAAATTCGTGTGCTTGGAGTTGTTTTAAATGATCCTAAATATAATACATCTTTATTTGGCCATTCAAGAATTATAGCATAAATTTGATTTGCATTTTTACTTTGTGTATACCAAACATCATTACTCAAGCTATCATTTTGTGCTTTCCAAGGTTTGGTATTATAAATAGCTTCCCCATTTATTTTTAACCAATCACCTATTGAATACATTAAATAAATTAGTTATACAAATAAATCTATCGAATATATTATGTTTTTAAATAAATTGTTTATATACACTTTTGCCTTAGAGAACATACCCATTCCACGTAATCTTTCTTCATATATTGGAGTAATAATACCATCTTTTGTTGGTCCAACATTCATTAATAAATTTCCTCCACAGCTTACAGTAATTACTAATTCTTTTATCAATCCTGACAAAGTGAAATATTCTGATAACTCAGCATTCCTACGAAATCCCCAAGATTTTTTATCAATTGTCATACAGTTTTCCCATTTGTGTGATAAGAGTACTCCTAAAGAAATTAAATTAAGAGCAACATAAAAAATAAAATATAAATATAAATTTAAGTATTAGGTATAAATAAGTGATAAATATAAATTTCAAGTGTGTGTGTTGATGCTAGATTTAATTTACCAGGATTATAACGATCAGAACATGTGTAAAAATCACCATGGTGACATGGTATATTTTGTCCCCATCTATCATTTACTACAACTGTATCCTTCACAGGACTTTCATTATACAACCACGCTAAAAATTCTTTTGATTTCCAATAAACATCTGATGCTTCCCAGTCACCATCAGACCATATAACTTCTGGCTCATATTTTTCCACTAGCTCGTGTAATTCAGGAATTATCTTTTGTTTAACAAAAATTTGCGTTGTAAAATTGTTATCTTTATCAGATAAGTAGAGAGGATTATACCATTCATACAAAGAATGATAAAGTCCAAATTTCAAATTAGTTGAACGTCTTATTGCTGTAGCTAATTCTCCTGAATTTAATAATCATCAATTAAAGATATAAGATAATTAAAACAAAAAATTCAGTTCAATGAATTATCTTATGTTCAATGAAATCTTACCTATAAGATCTTTTTGTGGTCCTACATCTACAGAATTCCAACTGAATGAATATTTTGAAGGCCACAATGTATATCCCTCATGATGTTTACTCGTTAGTACAATATACTTTGCACCTGAAGCTTGAAATAATTCGCTCCATTGTGTTGCATTGAAAAATTCAGCAGTAAATTCATGAGCAAAGTCTTGATATGTAAAATTAGGTGGATACCTTTGTTTCATAAAGTCACGATATTTAGTATTAGCTTTTTCTTCTAAAAATGGAAGTTCCTCTTTAATTCTTTATAATTTCATGTTATTTTATAACAGATAAAAAAATTTTGATTGTAATAAACAACTATTGTAATTAACAATAATAAAAAAAAGATTACCTTTCCAATTATTCCAAAACCATTCAGAGCCAAAACTTGGAACGCTAAAAACACCCCAATGAATAAAAATACCAAGTTTTACATCATCATACCAATTTGGAAGTGGACGACTATCTAAACTATCCCATGTTGGAGAATATTGGTTTAATTCTGTTTCTATTGGCCATAATGTTTCTTGGCTTTCTATATCAGATGTTATTAATACATATTGGTCTCCCCATGATGTGTGCAATATTGATAAAGTTAATATAATGTAAACTGACAAAATCATTACTGCAGAGTATTTACTGCAAATAAATTATATAAAGTGTTACGCTTTATATATACATATATCTTATCACATAAAAGATTAAAAATTAGGATAAAAATTATTGATTACCAATATTGATTTTATTGTTTAATTTATAACAAGATTAAACAATATTAATTAATTAATTTTTATTTGTCAAATGTGTTATTTCATTATAAAATAATGTGACAAAGTAATTTACATAAATATAATATTTAAAACAATCAACATTTAAAATAAAAAAACTAAATATCTATAATCACCATTTGTCACGTTTTTTAAAAATTCTAAAAATATGTTTTATGAAATAAAGTTAATGTGAACGTTTAAAAAATTTTATTATACCGGTAACTATACTAACTACGACAGACAAATGAAAAATTAAAGAAATGCTATAAAACTAATAAAATAGATTAGGAATAAAAATCTGAATATTTTGTTGCTAATTGTTCTTGCTATTTACTTTAATATTAGTCCCATATCTTGTTTATAGCCAATGGCATATTACTAAATTATGATAACGTTACAGAATTTAGGCAAATTCATTCGAGTGATAGATTGATAACAATATTCAAAATTTGCAAAATTTGTACATGCAAAACAGTGCAAACACGCTTCTGTGAATTTCTAGCATCTATTGTAAGTAACTGTCTTGATAAAAAATTTTTTTGGAAAGTATTTACGATAAACTAGAAGATTAGAGTGTAAAATTTTTAATTTGCCGATATTTCTTAGAATTAACAAAATTCACCATGCCGTCTTGGATACCGATGGAATCTAATCCAGAGGTAAGGATTTTCATCTATATTATTAGTATTAAAATTAAATAACATTATTGTTTTTTTATATAAATTAAAATCATTCTTATCTTTGTTTTAGGTTATGACAAAGGTAAGTCGCTGTGATTTTCCATTATTGATATTGACGTTCAATCTTTTGTAACGTTAAATGATAACAAATGTTTTTTAAAGTTTTTCAATTTATTAAAACGTCAATTATAATATATCTGTTTAAGTATTAAATGATTTATTTATATTATTATAAAGTAAAACTGTTGATGATTTTACAATTAAATTTACTAAATAAAATTTATTTTACAGTTTTTACACAAATTAGGTGTATCGAAAGATTGGTCTGTTGTTGATGTTTATGGCTTAGAACCTGATTTATTAGCACTTGTACCTAAACCAGTCGCTGCTGTTATTTTATTGTATCCTTTATCCAAAGAGGTATCAAAATTAAGATTATATTATTACATTTATTTAAGATCATGCATCATGATATGTGTAAATATTTTATATGATTTAGGTCAGAGATCATTTATATTCAGATGAGAGCTTAAAAGACAAAGAGGAAGTTGCAAGTACTTGTGAAGATACAGAAGTTTTTCACATGAAACAATACATTCATAATGCTTGTGGTACAATTGCATTAATCCACAGTGTTGGCAATAATCGAGACATGTAGGCATTTCATTAAAAGTACAGAAAGTTGATTGTTGAACAGATCTTATATATAATAGATAATTTAATTTATTTTTGCAGCATAGATCTTCAGGATGGTTTTTTAAAAACTTTCCTAGATAAGGGAAAGAAACTTTCCTTCGTGGAATGTGGAAAACTTTTGATGGAATCAGATGGCATTAGTATCACTCATAAAGATGTAGCACAAGAAGGTCAAACAGAGGTATGATTCTATTTTGTATACCTATAGAAATGAGTACTAATTGAAAATATTCAATAGGTACCAAGTGATGAAGCACAAGTATATCATCATTTTGTAGCATTTGTACACAAAAATGGAATTTTATATGAATTAGGTAAATATTTTAATGCTATTTATAGTAGGCGCAATTCTTATAATATATCTATATAAATATATTTTATATATGGGGTTTTCTTAGATGGACGTAAATCTTCTCCTATTAATCATGGTCCAACTAATCCAGAAACACTGTTAGAAGACGCAGCACGCGTTTGTAAAGAATATATGGCACGTGATCCAGAAGAAGTATGCTTCACAGTTCTTGCTCTTGCTAATAGTGATGCGGCAGCATTGTAACTTATTACATATGATGTAACATATGTGCTTTTTCTGTTCAAATAATTTATTTTATGTTGTATAGTTACTTCTATATTGCATTTATTAATGTCTGCTGACTACTGATATATATCAAATGTGAAACAAACAAACAAACAAAAAAAAGTAAACGTTTTTGAATGATAAAAGTATAAAAAAATATTTGAAATCGAACAAAAATGAAATTTGCTTTTTCGATGTAATACGTTTTTTAAATACTTTTATATATTTTTTACATAGATCTTACCATCTCATTTTCTATATTATTTTTTCATGAATAAATGTGGCTTAAATATTTTCGTAAATTTTAATTAATAAAACTAAACTAAGTTTATGGTAGCTGTGTGATGATTGTTTGTATACTGTTTATATTTGCTCTAAGCAATTAAAGTTGTATGTATCTGTATTTGCTATGCTTATTAAAAAATCTTTTCTAAAAAAAAAAAGGAACACATCTGGTGTTAAATTCTCCTACATACTAGTTCTTACTTTCTTATTAATTATTTTTCAAATTTACATATTTTCAAAGATAAAACGTTCATAATTGAAAGATTGACAAATTTATGAAAAATAATTTTTACAATTCAATTATTAACTTAGACTGATTAATTTTTTTAATGACATGTATAAAAAATTTCAATGAAATTTTTCCAAAAGCCTGAATATGAATAAACAAATATGTACACGTTTGTTTTAGCAAACCGTTGATATCGGGGACAAGTCTATGATACATTATTTGTTCCAATGAAATCATCGAAATGGAATGACATCATTGGAAAAGAATCGATTATCCTTATATAATTGAAATACCTTTCTTTTCTCTATTATCAGAGATCGTAAAACTCGTCGGTCACTGACCAGAAGCCAGCAAAAGGCCTAGTTATTTTAGATTCTCTTCCGAGAGTGAGCATCTCGGCATCACTCTCTCTAAATAGAAGCCTAAAGACACGAAATAAAATCGAAACATGAGCTTATAATCGTTTATCTTCTCATTTCTTGCATAACGCGATTTATAAATAAAACAAATGAAGAAGAACTTGAGAAACAGCATTACCACGAATTATCACTTTGATTGAGATAATTGAGTGAAGAATTTACATGAAATAAGAATGTTGAAGGCAAATGATTAGCATGTATTAGTCATTGTTTTTCACTTTAGTTTGTTTCAGGAAAAATTTCGTTGTGGAAAATTTTCTACATTGTTCTCAATGTTACGAGTGTGAGTCGTTCTTCCTATGGGATTCATGGGATTCATCAATCAATGAATGATTAATGACTTTTTCTTAATGTATTGCAAATATTGAAATGATGCATTCTTTTTTTTTCATGTAAGGATTTCAATTATGAACGAAATACGTATGTTTGTATGTGAAATGTGCATCACGAAGATATATAATTTATTGATTTCTAAGGTTTTACATTATTTTTTATTTTCTTCGTGTTTTTTTTTTTTTTCTCAAATTTATCTTTGATCTATCAATAACAAAAGGAAATAACCATTTTATAATGTATTGCACAATTTTCTAGTTATTGAATTACCGATCGATATCATTACAGAGATATAAATCTTTTGCTCCTTAGGACGATTGATATCGAATTAATTCCCAAGATAAGAAGCGTTGAGAAATTCCCAATAAAATTTTTCCATTAAGAGCTCTATTACATTTACACAACTATGCAGTTCGATAATAGGAGACAAAGAATTTCAGCTCGATTTAAGCAAATACTGCGTCATCGGAATGGAAATTTTCGACAAAGATAAAGCAGCTGTGTTTTCATACTTCAAGCTCGAATATTTTTTTGGATCATCTAGTATATTCTAGATTCTAGGTCGTGAAAGATTTGGGAGGATATTTCAATATGTTCCAAAGAATGTTTCAATAGCAGGATCACAAAAATATTGGAACTCTCATTGGCTGATAGTTTATATATTTATAGTTATATAAATTTATATTAAATTTATATTTATATTTTTATATTTATAGTTTATATATTTTATTTCCATGATAAGTGTTCAGATATTTTTATGAGCTAATATATAGATAAAAAATACTGCAAATCTGAAACAAATTGCAAAATCGAATTTAAAATAAACGAATGAAAACAATATCATTTAACAATCACGCACGACGACTTTATCTTTTACATGTTAAAAGTAAAAAATTAGGATTATTCAACGTTATCAATAAGAATATATATGCGTATCGTCTGAAATCGTAATGTTAACATTAATCTTAATGTTATCGAATGATTGATGCGTAAATGATAATTACTTACACGTTTTAATGAATAACAGCAGAATATTCCATGATTGTGCGTAATGTCTTCACTGATAAAATATAATACAAAAGGTATGGAGTAAATTTTGGGATTTATACATTGATCACATCGATAAAATTCTCAATGAAGACAATTTATTATTTATTAATTTAAAGTTATAATCAGACAATCAGTAAGTAAATCATATTATAACTATATATTGTAAAAATCTACGACTATCTCTTCGAGCAAATGCAAATTTATTGGGACAGGATAGTTTTTTGATTTTTAAGCATAGGATAATTTATTGAGATCGCGAAAAATTATTAAGAAACACTGCCTGTCTATATTCGAGTTCTGCATTGCAATTATTTTCCTAATATAGTAAGTTAATCATTTAATTTATTAGAAATATGTTAAATAGTTTAAAATTCGTTCAATTTCTTGTTTCAAATTGAATACTACATAACTGAATATTACATAAGACAAAAATAACATACTTTTAGCGACGAGACTTTTATTTATGTAAATTCGTATAACTTCAAGAAACAGAAAACATTTGTTAATCTGTCGAGTGAATTATGTAATATGAATTTTCTGTGCTTATTAAATTTCCTACAGATGCATAGTCCGCAACAAGCACGTTGCTATTTCACTGTTACATGCCTTAGTTTCTCCGTATTTCAACATAATGCCTGTTAGATTCCAAAACGACATAGTGAACAATCAAAGTGTCAGGAATTAAGGAAACATGCCATGCATAGGAACTTATAGTACGCATTCGTCCATGGCGAAGTTGAGTTTAAGGTCGTTCTGCATCCATAGAAATGTATAGGTACAGTTCCATACATTTTTCATTAAACAGATACGATCGATGTTAATCGATAAATTCGATGCAAGAAATCAGTTTGACTCTTTTAGATGTTTACCAATTGGGTGCAACAATCAGGGAACGAAAAGAATGTTGAGAAAGATATTTCTTTATTGTCACAGAAGAAAGTTAATGAAATTTTGTGGAAGGATGAGAGCAAAGAAAGAATTTGTTCGATGAAGACAAGAATAAAGGAGGGTGATGGAATTGACAAAAAAAAAAAAAAAAAAAAAATAAAGGCGAGCTAATTTTTTAGATTAAAATCGATTAAAACTCAAAATTTTCCGATCATCGAGGATATTTTTTTCATAAATGAAACGGAAGGAGAGAGCAACGACGATTCTTTTTGTAATGATTAGCTATCACAGTTGTTACAATCTTTCAATTATTCAATGCTATCTGAACACGCGATGCTATCAATACTTAAAGGCATTGTAATATCTACACGACAAGGACTTGGATTAGTTATTACTCGCACGCAAAATGGTAATTCAGCATGATTATTTCGCATGCAATAGCTCAGGCGAACATTGAACCAACTGAAAAAGATGCTTTTGGAGGTCGAAGAATTGTTGATTCTATCATATAGTTTGTCCTTAAAAGTTTTTACTCCTGCCGGAAGTACCTAATATAGTACCATATTTAGTACCTATATATAGTTGATTTATAGTTTCGACAAAAGTGATCGCGAACTCAAAGAATTTTTAACAGTAGCGATTTTTCACTACTATGCTAACTTGATTCCTCATCGATTAACTCTATATAGGAATTTTTACACAGGAATTAAAGAATTACAAATCGAAAGTTCGAAGAGTTTCATCTGTTATTCTGATTCAATTCACTTTTATTTTGGTTTATTTTCCAAATTACGTATAGAGAACTCAGAAGTTCAGTGTATGTTCGTAAGTTCGTTATTCTACATTGCAATAATTGTTATATCATAGTAACGACCAGCCTTGTTCTACAAGTTTTATCCAAAAAAAAAAAAAAAAAAAAAAAAAAGAAAAGGATATTTGCACAAGTCTGTTTTAATTAAAAATGCCCTAAACTTCTGAGCCTTCCAACATAGCAAATCTTCCCTATTTCAGCGAAGTTGAAAATCTGATCTAATTTTCCCCGACAATTCTCCAATTCTAATTCTTCGATTTCACAGTGTGTAATCTCGCGTCGTCACTGCGGCGTGAATTCAAGTCAAATTCGAGATGGAGACACGTTCGATCGATCGATAATCGATTCGCGTAGCCGCGAAATTTGACTGTGATTGTTTCCGGAAGCCAATTTTCCAGCGGTTGGACGCCTTCGTCGACTGCGTGGAAAGAGCGATAAGCATGTTTGCCACGGATGAAATTCAGGGACCGTGAACGTTTCGCCGACGACGAGAGAGAGAGAGAGAGAGAGAGAGCTGAGAATGACACCGGCCAGGAGACGGCCAACAACACTAAAGAGTATTTAACAAGCAGCTCTAAGCAGAGAGTCTTTAGGTGGTCGGTTCTCAGTAGCGCGACTTCGTTTCAGTCGCGCGGAAGCAGCCGACCGTTGCACGTGTTCGCGAACAGGACGAACAACCGCTACCATCTATGGGTTACCAGTACACCCGTTCTTCTATCTGGATATTTTGAACTGACCACGAGAAAGTGAGTACACGATCTTTCGTCATTCCCTTGTATCTAAACTCGGCCGGTTATAAGTATGAAAATACCATCTATCATAATGATATACATGTACAAGTTACGTATGTACTTATTCTTATATGTAATTTTCTTTACCGTGAAATTTTGTTGCATGATAAGTGACAGCTTGACTAATTGTCAAGTTACAATTTGAAGTTTATATATGTATATATTTTTTTTTAATAATTTTCTGACGTATTTTTTTTTTT